CTTCCGCACCGAGCTAGGCATCTCCATCTTCAAAGCCAGAGCCATACCTCGTGTGGCACGGAAAATACACAAGATCTGTCAAATAATGCGTCCTTGGATTATTGAAGCCGAGAAACGGGGTGCAAAAGTGTACTTTACGATAGCCACCAGGCGTCCGGGACAAGTTCACAGCTCGGTTCGGCCGGAATACACGACGTATGGATGCTTAGATGGAGAACGCGACATGTTCTATACTGAGAAAGAATGGGTGAAAGAGCTGAAAGGAACTCTAGGTCCAGAGTGCCAATGGTTCCGGCGGGAACGACCTGGACATACACAAAGAAAAGACATCTTGAAGCGATCGAGGCCGAAAGCTTATGCTGTGGCACACTTGATTGGGGCTGCATGGGGTTTAGTCTTCTGCATTTGCTGTTACCTACCCGCACAGGCAAGGGAGGACTGGAAAGATCGTAAGAGAAAAAGAAGTGTGTTACCAACAGCTGTGTTACGTTGAGGTGTCATCGCACAACAGAACACTATCTCTGCACTATCGTTGGGTATGTTGTAGAAAAATCAGAGTGTCTGGTAATGGATGATTGTCAGATTGATCATTCAGATACCTGCATATCAGTGCGACCACGAAAACTGCACTTCTCCAATCGTTCTCGTGTCATCAAAAAGCTTTCGGGGAACCACTCTGGTTTCCCGTTCATACTTCCAGCTTCCATCATCTTCACCAACGCCTCCGCAGACTTTAAACACAACACCATACCGTGGCCATTGAACCCCGCGGATATCCACAAGCCCTCTTTACCTGGCACCTCACCCACAAACGGCCGTCCGTCAGCCGTCGCGCCCATAATTCCTGTCCACTCTTGTACCACGCGGCGCGATGCCTCTTCTTTAGACGTCTCACCCCAGTTTTCGGCGCCAAAATACCCAGTCAAGCTCTCGTTGAGATACTTGGAGATCTCTGGGTTCAAGGTACTATCGTCAACCGTTCCGTACTCGCTCGGACCGGCATGAGGGAGACGGCCCAACCCACCACCAATGACAATGTGCTGTCTTCCGTCTGGCAAGGGCCGAGGAATCATGTACTCGTAGCCATCGCGGTAGATGAATGAGTATGTTGTTGGTAACGGGCTTGGCAGCTTCGTCGAGGTTCCTGGTCGTTGCGCGGTGATTTGCCCACGCATTGGCACGATGGCTCCTTGCAGCTCTTTCATGATGTAGGGTGTGTAGCCGTTAGTTGCGATGATGACGTTCTTGGACGTGATGATACTTTCGTGGGTACACACATCCCAGCGGTTACCACTCTCGCCTTCCGATCTCGCCGAGGGACGGATGTCGTGGACAGGCGTATTCGTGCATAGCTGTAGCCCTTTCTTGACACACTCCGCCAACAAACCGGTCGTAAAACGATATGCGTGGATTCTGCCGGCTAGGTATTCGAAGGCGCCCGCCAGCTTCTCTTTCGTTTCAATTGTCGGATTACTGTTTTCCGCTGCAACAGAGAACTTGTCTTGTATGCTCGCGATAGCTTCATGGATCTCGTACCATGCAGCATTTCCCACTTCCTTCTCTTTCTCCTCTGCATCAATTCGCAGCATCTGAATAGCCATTTTGCCCGCTTCAAAGGTAGGCTTATCGTAGATAAGATCGACCGTGTTACACAATTTACTCTCACAGCTCAAGCCCAATTCCTCCGCCATACGATGCGTCTCAACAATGTTGGCATACTCCAGCCTTGCGATCTTCAATGCCTCTTCTTTGCCAAGCTCTTGCACATGATGTGTGTAACTGCGGTAGCTTGCCGCTTTGGTATGTCCGCCGTTGCGACCCGTAGCGCCTGAGCAGACTTCACGTGCTTCCAACATCACCACGCGCGTGTCAGGCCAGGTGTTGAGGATGTTGTAGGCGGTCATTGTGCCTGAGATGCCGGATCCGATGACGACATAGTCGTAGGTCTGTGTGGACGTTGTAGCTTTTGGCTCAGTGACATTTGCGAGATGGGACTTGGGGTCGTGCCAGTACGAAGGCAGTGGATTCGCGATGGGTGGCGCGACGGGGATGCGCGCTCGTTCCTCCATGGCTACTTCGTGTTGGTGGTACCTTTCTCTGGGCTCAATGAATTTCCAAGGAATTATTTTTCGTCAAATATCATGAATCGTTACAGCGCTGGAAAAGAGACTTGACAACGAAGATAGAGATGGAGAGGAGGTGAAATGGTGGGAGTGGGGCGCGCATCGGCTGTACCTGCTACTTTGGGAGCGTCACTTCCCAGCGCGATACGTGGGCAGCGACGGGCGTTGCTTCAAAGATGCCCAATTCGACGTTCTGGATTCCACGACTTCTGATAAGGGACTCTCCATTTTCCGGTACACGATAGCTTTGGAAAGGAAGGAGATAACTCATCCGAGGGTGGATTCGCTTTTCTGACTTCAACGCTTATTGGCGGATGCTTCGGGCCAATGATGTCCGGCAGCAAACTTCTAAAGATGGACTCTTTGAGACAGTAACGGCCTGACACATATCCAACTCCAATGCAAAGACTATCGCAAGTTTCTCAGCACATCTCGCCAAATCCTCGTGACGGTGCTACTGCGACGAAGTCGAGCTCTACCCCGCCCAACGCCGATCGCGGTGACCCCTCAGCTGCACGAATCAACACCAACATGGCGAAGACCAAGGTCGTTGTAACGCGACAGTTGATTGATGAGGCGCAAAGATTGCTCGATGCAAAGAAAGAAGAATTGGAAGTCGTGCAATGGCAATCCGAAAAGGTGAGTGTCGGTCACTGGCGATAAAGACGGGTTGCTGACGATGTGCATGCAGCCATGTCCGCGCCCATGGCTTCTCGAAAATGCCAAAGGTGCAACCGGAATCCTAGTCATGCTCACAGACAAAGTCGATGAAGAGCTATTAGAAGCAGCCGGATCGCAACTAAAAGCCATCGCTTCATTCTCCGTCGGAACCGACCACGTTGACCGAAATGCGCTGAAGAAACGCAACGTACGTCTCGGCTACACGCCAACATGTCTCACCGATGCCGTAGCAGACCTCACCATCATGCTCATTCTCATGGCCCAAAGAAGAGGTGGAGAATCGATGACGAAAGTCGCAAAGGGCGAATGGCCTCAGATGCCATGGCATCCACTGCTCATGACTGGCCCTCAGATCCGAGGATCAACTATCGGGTTCTTGGGGTTCGGAAGGATTGCGCAGGCTTCGTTGCTAAGACTATTACCATTCGGCATCAAAAAGGTCATCTATCTCAGGTCCAAGCCTGGCAAGCCCGTCAAAGAGGACCACTTCGGCCTGATCAAGAACGCTACTATCCCCATCGAGCCAGCAAACAGCACAGACCAGCTCGCACAAGAGAGCGATGTAGTCGTTGTTGGATGCGCCCTCACGCCCGAAACCAAGCATCTTGTAAGCACAGACTTCTTCTCTAAGATGAAGAAGCTCGCCGTTATCGTCAACATCGCGCGAGGCCCCATCATCGACACTGATGCACTGGTGACGGCGCTGGATCAAGAGCAGATATTCGGTGCTGGGTTGGACGTGATTGAGAATGAACCCAACATCACGGCTGATCACCCGATCTTGAAGCAGCCAAGAGCTGTGCTTGTTCCGCATATTGGGAGCGCTACGATTGAGACACGGGTACAGATGGCTACAGAGAGTGTTAAGAATTTGCTCGCGGGGTTGGCAGGGGAGGAAATGGTGAACGAACTGCAGTTGTAGGGACATGTGACAAATATAGAATTACTTCACATCCAGCTTAGATCTGACCACGCTGCGTGGCGTCCCGTTGATATGTATCCTCCGTGACATTACGATAATTCCACTTCAATTCCAGTAATATCCCGTCTTCTCCAAGAGTCTCTTTCGCTCAGCTTCATGCGTCACCCTCGTTCCACTCCGTCGTCTACAACCGGAATAGCAAAGCGGCCACGAATCGTTCGAAGAAGTTCCGTCCATCGTATCTCTGCAGCCCGGCGTAGACGAGTGCAAAGACCAGCCAAATCTCCAGCAGGGCTACGAACACCCAAAGGACAATGGTCACAGGATCCATCTTGACGAGGGGAATGTGCGCCGTGTTGGTGTAGTAAACTGCCGGAACTCGGTATGCGGTTGGCGGAGTCGAGGTACGGAAGTGTTGGTCGAGGGTTGCGAGTGGCCGTTGATATCTTGCGGGTTTTGTGAGGTAGTTATTGACGTGTTGACTTCACCTACAGCCGGGTTAATGTGACGAGAGGAAGAACTTGCGACTTGCAACACGGCTGCTGATGGCAAATGCTTTCCCGAGAGTTGTATGGATGTTGTGGCCGTGCTACAGAGTACTTTCAGTGAGAGAATTTGCTAGGCGATTCCCATGACAGTGAATGCGAGCCGCCACTTCCATGGGCCCTTCACTGTCTCCATTTTCTCTCGATCCGATCACTTTAGACAGGCAGACAGCAGTAGGTTGTCAGCGATCCTGCAAGTGGTATCAAGAGTTGCGAGAACGTGTCGTTCGTAATGTCCACCATACCATCTGAGGGCCTCGGGAAAGCGTTCAATATGGTAATAAAGTAAGGCTGGAAGCGATACTAGTCGCGATCATTGACAAAGGTCGTCCTTGTGCGGTTTCAATCAACCATCGCCTTGCGAATCCAGAGCACAGGAGCAGTTACACGTACTCATTTGCATTCAAATCGCCAGCATCGCGGGCGGCTCAGCGGAACGCCTTGACACCCACCTTCTTTGGAACTTTCTATCTTTAATGACACTGATACATCGCGTAGAGCTCATAGCAACGGGCAACGCATTCGATGTATTGGACGCAAGTTTCTAACGAAATGACGGCGGTCGTGGTTGCGTACCTAGGTAGGTTTGATGGGACTCACCCCTGCACTAGCCAGTTTGGGTTTGGACGATGTCGCCCGCACCCGTGGACGCGTCCCAGCCACCCCGCCGACGCGCCCGCGCGATGTCTTCACGCCCGTTGCTCCTCCTCACATTCGCGCCCATATGTATCAAAACAGCTTGAACCCTCCCGGCACCTGCGTCTGGAAAATACCCGTTGGATCGTACTTCCTCGCCACTTCCCTCATCCTTCTCAACTCAACTCCGCCATAGCTGCCCAGCGGATCCTGAAACGATGCTGCAAAGTTCAGATACTTGTACCGATGGAAAACACCCTCTTCCTTCGTCAGCCCTTCAACTAGCTTTACCAAGTCCTTCAAAGCCTCCTCGAATCCATCCGCAGCGTCAGCGTCTTCAAAGGTGAAGATTATCTGCAAGAAAATCAGATCCTTCTCTGGCATCTCTTCTGGTTGAAAGCCTAAGCTATTAGGTGATGTGCCGTTGCGAGGTGGTGCAGGAAGAGCCTGGAATGTGATCTCTGCAAGAGGCTTGGCGTAGGCGTATTGTGCTGCAATCTCAGGGACGACTTCTTCCCACAAACTGTGGATGCGATGAATGATCGTCGGTGAGACGGCGAAAGAGGTCGTTGCCCAGATGGTGCGCTGAGGGTTTGCAGCCACTTGTCTCGATGCATTCCTGGTATGCTCACTGATCGGAGCTTCAACCATGCCATTTATGACTTGCGGCTTGGTCTCGAAAATCGCCTTCAGTGCCCCAGGCCTTTGCGCTGGCCGTGTGTACCACATGATGCTCACTGGAGTGAACGTCGCTGCCGTATGGTTGTATCGCACAGTGACCCAGCCCGCTGCATATGGGTCATACTCCCCGAGCTTGAAATTGGTAAACGCAGAAAGCAAAGGCGTCGTGGCATTGGGCCCGAAAACGATTCTTCCACCATAGATGGGACCAGCAGGGAAGGCTGCCAAGTCAAAGCGCGAGACGATACCGAAGTTGAGCTGCCCTCCTTTGAGCGCCGCGAAGAGATCAGAATGCGATGTAGCGTTGGCATTGACAATCTCCCCGCTTGCGAGTACGACCTCGAAGTTGACGACGCCGTCACATGCCCATCCACGCTCTGGGCTGAAGAAAGATATACCTCCTGGACAATGTTAGTCAGTCTCCTAAGTCCACGAATTGGTTACAAGAATCTCAGCTTACCTCCAGTCAGAAAGCCAGCTGTTCCGACGACTCCAATGCGACCCCCAAGTACCGTCAGTTTCCGCTTCTCAGCCTCGTCGTATACGTCCTGCCACAGCGCCCCCGCGCCAACCCTCACAACTTGATCTCCTCTCGCGACTTCGACCTTGTTCATGCTCTGCATGTCGATTGTGACGCCATCATCAATATTGTTGAAGCCGACATTCGCGTTATGACCCCCTCCTTTGACCGCAAACTTGGTGCTGTTATTCAATGCCAGAATTTTAATGGCGGTTGCTACATCTTCTACGGATGTTGGGCGAATGATGCACGATGGTCGCAGACGAAGCTGAAGGAACGGATATGATTGGATTGATGCGTTATATGCCGGTGCTGCGGGGAAGAAGGTGCGGTTGGGCAGTACCAAGGCCAAGTCTTCACACGAATTGCTTGGATAGCCGTACGCAGAAGCCGCACCGAACAAGAAAAGACTAGCGGAATAGAGATCGAGAAGACGCATGTTGCAGAAGGTTGAGGTTGAGACACTTCACTAGCACTACCACACGAGACTCTAGCTCCGTCTTAAGCTTTCTCGACACTTCTGGCTCCCAGCGATCCAGCCGGCGCGGCAAACTATCACACCATTCCACGGGCACTGTAGACCTGGAGTGCATATACGAAGCTTTATTAGTGGCGTCGTGATCCCGAGCCTTCAGTCAGCCGCAGCCCGTGTGCCTCGATGTGATTGGCGGATGTGGATTTTGGGATCTCAACCGGGTTGCAGAGATGCGGAGTAAGTTTTACACGACAGATGAGATGAGCTGAATTGTTACACAGGTGGGGAGCCGGTCTGGTATCGTTGCAGTGAAGCAGCCATGAAGCGAAGATGGTGTGGGGTCAGAGATTTGATGCATTGTTGCTATACGGGAAGTTTTCCAATCACGGTCTATCCGAGTTACTCCGCGAAGATGCTATTTGGGGTATCATTGTTCAAGTCAACTGCCTAATCTGACCGTCCGCCTCTTCTCCTACTTCTTCAGCCCATCCAGAAAGCCTTGCATTACTCGAACAGCTGCGTCAACAACAGTGGTCGTATCTGCCATGTCCATGTTTCCCTTGGGATTGCGCTTCTTCTTCATCACAACGCGGTCGAGATCTCCAAGGAGCGTTGCCACAACCATGAACCCGTCGCTGGTAGGCGACTTCCAGTCCGCCTCTTTGTGTATTTTCCCTCCAGTAGCGCTAAGCTGTGCTTGTTCGGTATCGATCATCTCGCAAAGCTCGTTGCATTGCAGTGTCAGACTGATGTAGTCAAATTCCAGGCGGTCCAGAACTTGAGGAAGCTCTTTACAGTTGCGAAGCTCCTTGATAAACGACGAGATGTTCAGGTCGCCCGAACCCTGCGTCCGCGAAGAGACTTTACTGTGCTTGGCCATCTCCTCATCCATACGGTACCAAGTGCGCACTCCCGTTTCTCTCTGGTGGACATAGTCGCGGAGAATTCTCGTCATCGGAAGCGGTTCTAACTCGCACGTCTTGTGGGTACCTTTCCCAAAATCGCGGCGACTGTAAACGTCCTTGTCCGTATTCCGAGTTTTCTTGATGAACGTGGTTGAGTACCCGGCTACAAGCAGCAGGCGCGAGTAAAACTCATCGGGCTTCGTGGGGATTGCGGTGGAGAAGATCTTCTTCGAATGCCGGTCCATGATGAGCTCAAGCTCCGGCCAGAGCCCGCTGATCCAGCCTCGCTTTTGGAAGCAGTTGTACAAATGGGCTATGGCGAAGATTTGCGGGCTGAGATTGGCAAAGCCGAGTCCCGTTTCCTCGCGCAGCAAGAGATGGACTAGGGAGAGCTTTGCTCTCAGAGTCGGAATGGTTTTACGCAAGAAGTCGCCGTCTCGTGGTGGAAGAATGTACTGGGCGGCAGCCGCTTGACGCGCAGACTCATTGCCAAGGCCATTGCTGACGTTACTCATCTTGAGGTTCATCATCCACTCTTTTTCAATACCGGTAGTCCTGAACACCGGCCACGGGTAGTCGTTCTGCAAACCGCAGAACATATGCTCAGGCGCCAACTTCCACATCTTAGCGTACCGGGCATGAGAGAATGGCCGGTCTAAGATCAGACCTCGGTGTGTATACCCTGAGTCTGTGACTTGCTGAAGTAGATGTGGGAAGCGGATTCCCCGTTCATGCCAAGATGCGAACTGGGCCTCTTCATCCCTCGCCCGTCGTGACATTGGTATGTAATCCCTCAGCGAACGGTTTTGGTCTTTCGTTCGGATTCTGATCAACAACTCGGCGGCGGATATGAAAACCATTGAGATGAAGCCGAAAGAACCTAGCGAACCGTATGCGCGAGACAAAGCGTCTAATGATCCTGCTAGTAGTGGCATCTGGTACTGTTCCTCATGTGACCTTCTGGCTTGCTATACAATGGTCAGTAATCAGTGGGGATATGGATCAGACTCTTGGTAGACCAAGGAAGACTTACTGGTTCCAGTGCGGCTTCAAACAAGTAGTGAACAAGGAAGTCGTAGTCTTCGTTTGAATGCCGGTTCGCGACGTCATCTTGGATGATCGACCGCGATGCGAAGAACAAATACTCCCCTGGTTGTGAACGTCGCTCCGCCTCGATCTTTCTGAGCGCTTTTGAGGTCTTGCCGAAGAAGTCGTCATCATCGAGAGAGGGATCAAATGGCGGCAGACCTTTCTCATGAGCTTCTTTTACCAAGGCTTCTTCTTTGTGGCGTATGAGGTGGAACGCAGCTTCCGTCATGAGAGTAGCTCGGGTCTCATCCAAGTAATCTTCGTTGTCAGCGAGCTTGTGAGTATCGTTCCAGTCGGACTCCAGCTGCTCGACGATGATGCGCATATCGTCCGCCAGACAAGACTTCCTCAAAGCGATCTCTTCTTTGGCTTTCCTCTCCGTTTCGAGTTCAGCCTCCGCGTCTTGTTTCACCTTCATGTCGAGCTCGAGTTTCCGAGCCAGCTCATCCAGCTTGTGACCTTTTGCTTCTCGCTCGGCCTCAGCAGCCGTGATTTCTTCTGGTACGGTCTCCTGACTATCACCAAAAGCCTGCGGTGTGGATCCAGGTACTGGAAGGAGAGATGTCGCTGATGTCGGTTCAGTCGCGATGTTAAATCGAAGTTGCGCAGGTGCTGCAGTCTCCGGTCGGCTGACCGCCTGCACTGCGATCTTCTTCTTTAGGATCGTGTGGCAGTGTTTCAACAGCCACAGGAAGTAGATGTGGCCATCGTCCGAAGCCGTCTCCGACAGTTCTTCCTGGGCATAGCGGTCGGCGTAGGCCTGGCGCGTTCTCACAGCCCGCTTGTAGGAGTACCAAACAAACTTGGGCATTGTCGAGGTCTCCTCCTGGTCTGCGATATACTTCGCCAAGTCGAGGATCTTTTCCGTCGAGATAACATAATTGGTCTTCGACGCGGTCGCTCGGTTGGTCACTTGCTTTGCTTGCTTCCTCGCTTGGCCTTTCAGCCGTCTCGAGGGTTGCTGGGTTTCGGCTGGATCAGCGATGTCGTAGTCCCGCTTCTTCGCAGTGTCAATGAGCCAGAAGATGAAGCGCTTGGTATCAAGCTTGTACTGCTCGTACGAGCCCGCTGTTGATACCGTCGCCATGAGATGTTGTTTGAACGGATTGTATATAGGGAATTGCTGGTGTGGGGGAAGACGTTGTGGTATAAAGGTCGTGGTTGAGTCTGTGAGGAGCGTATAGAAGAAATGCGGTGAGCTAATGTGGAAATTTGTATCAGCTGCGTGGGAGTTGGAGCCAAGCCTTATCTGTAGAAAGGGAAACCCCGCAATGATGGAGGCCAATTTGCTCGAGAAGTGAAACAGGTGGACATCAGCGTTATATAATGCGTTTGCTTGACGAAGTGCAGAATGACTGACTAGAGAAGCTTTGAAGAAGGCGCTTTCCATCGCTTTATACCCTTGAATTAATTGCGTGGTTAGGTCAGGTGCACTGAGCAAACGACATTGCGGAGGCCAGCGCAATCACGACAATCAGAATGGGGATTGCTAGTAGTCGAGTAATGAAGAAACACCTGTGGAATTGGAACCAAATTGCTGAAAATCGTCGTTATAGTGGTATAGAGAAAGGCCCTCAAAGGCCCGAGTCGAGTATGGGCTCCCCCAAAATTCCAAATCTGTTCAACATCTGTCCGTGGGTATGACATCATTGTCGAATTGGAGAGTAAAGCGAAATCTGACCGACGAAGAACAGCGTCATTGCGAGAATGGCGACAGTACTGAACGTGACGGCAACCTTGTGGACGAGTCAGAACATTATGTAGAACGGATATCATACGAACGTACCTTAGTATTATCGTCCCACAGTGTTGGATGGTGCAGGTGTGTGGTCGCCGACCAGACATGCAAAAACATACCAACGACCATGCAGACAGTAGCGGAGGTTAAAAACATCACTGGCATTTGCCATGTGACGATTTGTAGCAAGCTAGGTGTCCGACGTCCTGTCTTGGATGAGTGGCTCTTCTCGCCATTCGTCTTGGAAATCAGCTTTCGGATATTGGCCAATCCATTGCGATGTGATGAAAGTCGGTGCAGTCGTACGGTCTGATCAGCAGCTGTGAGGATGCTGAAAAGTGACAATATGATACCGCAGTACCACGATGTGCGCACAGACCATGGCGATTCCTTCCCATTTGGCAAGATGTTCGGCCAGCTTCCGGTGGACGTGAGAACGCCAGCTAAAAGGGCGGCCTGTCATGTATTAGCATGTCGGATGCTATCGAGAGCGTTGATAGTGATTGAGGAAAGCCAATGCAACGGATGGTGCCCATCCTAACCATGTCACGATTGGGCGTGAAGCATGCGCCATGTAGAAGGCGCGTCCCCGAGTGCATTAACCACGAAAAGAGATCGAGACTTACCACAACACCGACGAAGTTGAGCTCACTGAGCTTGTTGTCTCGCCATAACGTGGTGAGTTCGTCTTTTTCGTCTGCGTCTTCGGTATTGAGCAAAATCTCCAGGGGATCATACGTGGTGGAGTCGGGAGCATAGATGCCACCACCAAAGAACTGTAGCACACTCGTAAAGGTCCACTTAGGACCTTCATTTTCCTGTCCTATTCTCTGATGCGCTGATCTCCCCAGGAGTGGGGTGCGCGAGCCTGACGTGCCTCTTTCCTCAGCATCGTTGTCGTACGTCATAGCTCCTGAAGCTCTCGTGGTTTCAGTGGTAGCTGGTCGCTGGTGTTATCGGACCGGATTCGGTGGGGTTCCTGAAGCTTTAAGAACACGAGGGTAACATGGAGTGTTGCTGTAGGTACGTGTTGCACGGTAGCATTCATCCGGTTTCTGTGGAGGGTAGGAGGTCGCGTGCCTAGCCGTGCAGCCGCTTGGTGACGTATTTTGGCGCGTGAGCTACGCCAGCCAACGCGATCTTCACAGTATCTACCATATTGCGCGATGCCCCCAGGTCACAATGCACGTTACTACTGAATGCACATCTGGAGATGCATCGAAATGGAGAAT